TCCAACCAATTTTCTAAACCACGCTACTATGGGCTTTCTGGCGTGCCCCTACTTAAGGTTGTCACAGCTGGATATCAATCGCAGTAGGTGTGAATGAAAACCCAGCCACCGGCCTTATCGAGCATAACAGCCTTCTTATCTGAACACGTTCGAAATGCTGTTGAACCGAAATACACTAGCTTAGTATTTGTCATGCAGGGTGTCAGTAGACGTGTGGTCGCGCATGACCTCGGAACGAGGCGTTGAGGATTATGCACATTAAATTAGACCTCTCAAGCTCCGTCGACTCAACCAAGGGACGCTGTTATGTGGGTGAGCTCAGCTCATACTACTATTAGTAGGGTTCATGAGTTCGGTTGTCATGATGAACAATCCACATGGATAAATCATGCCTCACGTAAGATGTCTTGTTAGCTAATGACCTCAACTAGAAAAGCCCAGGCAGACAACACAGGGTGTTATCTCATACTAGTCTGGAATGGAACCATCGACTAGGACAGACGTATTCTTGTATGCTTCAAGGTCCGTAACTTGAAAGCACAGGTTGTCTGCCCTGATAAGGACACCACATGTCTCTGTTGAACTAGTTAGCCTATGTAAGCGACCAGCTATATATTCAGACCCCCAGAAGAACGTGCAACAGCGACCAGCTATATATTCAGACCCCCAGAGGAACGTTCAGCTCACTTTCGGGTTCATACCCGTAGCGCACGACTTGGTCGCCTGTTTTGGTCGTTAGTATAAGTTGTTACAAACGGACAATTTGTGCACCATATGGCTAATCTTCACCATGAAGGTGTATTTTTCTGCGGAAACAGGGAGGATGACAATCAGTAAGGGCACCATACATTTGCTTCTCTTGATCACGTGAATTTGTGGCACAACGATGACGTGCTCCAACCTGTGGTGTTGTACACCGGCGAAGCCAAATCAAGATACCTTGATCTCAGGTATTTCAACCGCAGTATCGCATGGATTTTTGTCATTTTCAGACCGATTCGCGGAAATTGGTCCTTTACTCTAGGAAATGTGGCGCGATAGAGTATTACTGACTGGTTATTCCGGGTTTGTGTTCTCGAAAAGGTCGGTTGCATCAGCAATTATGCAGTTTTTTTTACGTCAAGTTATCAGACGACAAACTATGCAGAATATAAGGCCGAAATCCTGCAGGCGGCATCGGTGCTACCGTTTGCATGACCCTGTCACGTAGCGGATTCAATCCTTGGTAGAGGCTTGATGACGTTCGGTTTTCCTGAGTCAAGCGATTTGTTGCGACCGAGTCGCCAAATCTTGTGACTAACTCGACGAACATCATTATACTACCATTATTCTCGATTGCCAACGACGGTGTAAACTAGACCTCCCTTCACTGTTAGTCCCCCTACTGTGGGGGAAATGGGTCCTCTAGTTGCTTTTGTCACTCGCAATCTATTTCTGACGCGCAGCTTTGTAAGTCTGATTCTTGGGACATATTCGCATGCTCAGTGCAGTTCTTCCTGAGTAACACGATTTACTGTTAAGTGCTGCAACGCATAGAAGTCTGTCTTCTTAAACTTCATGTATAGCGGCTAAATTACTTTGAAAGGATTCGCCAACCATTCTGAATGGTCACCTGGGAGCGCTCTTGACTACCATTTGTCCCAAGAAGAGATTTCATCTGCACTTGGTCGGCTATTGCACTAACTGAATAACCGACCTGTTGATTGGTTGCTTGCTTTATTGGTTGATTGGTTAACTTTCGAGCTAGGTAGTGGTGCGTCATACTGTTAGGCGGAATTCCACACGGATCCTGCTTTACCGCTCGCAGTAAGGTGCTACTTCGGCCGAGAAGCCCACGCAAGATTGGCCAAAAGTTCAATACGCTTGTCGATCCGGCGTCAAGTCGAGATCTGATTGGTCGAAAGTCTGGACTCAACAGCCAATCATGACCTAGTATTGGCCGAATGCCGGTTGCCAATGGTGAATCCAGAACTCGTCATAACTTCCAGAAAGTTATTGGCACCTACGCTATATATATATGAAGCGCTTTACAGGCGTTTTACTTCGTTTCGGGCGTTTACATACCTTGTGCACCCTTGGTGGTTGTTTTGATGTTAACCCTAGCTTGGGAGGCTCAGACCGTGAACTAAGCTGGGAATAATACCGTTACTACACATACCCTGTTGAGAGCTTCTGTTCGTAGTAGTGGTGATGCCGATCGTGCACATAGAGTCGCGGCAGGGCTTCTGTCAGCATCACACAACCTTATAAATGCCTTAAATTTCATCTTTGACAGCAATACACCAGTAATACTTACTGGTGCTTAACCTGTCTTACAGATTTTCAACATTTATCCAACATGTTTTCTGACCTGCAGTTGATCTCCAGTCCCCGCGTTGGTACTGATCTGGCCAGTATGGCCAGTAACGCTCTAAGTTTGACGACTCCAACAACCAATCGGGCATGCTGTCAACCGGATGGACCGCGAGATCCGCTCTCTGTACTAATATGCCTCAATTTGGCATTGGTCCACATACGCAAAGGAAACACAAAGGAATGCGAGGTTAGTGGAGTTTTGTGCATGTTGTCATACTATCCTCATTTTGCACGAATCCCATGTTCTGTTGACGGTGCACCGGCTTAATGATCCGGACTTCTCATCCCTGTGCACTCATCGTGCCCTCTGTGTAACTGTCCTGCATCCCCTCCTAGAAGTTTTTGCACTTAGGAACGCCTGCACACAGCTTATACATCTGGGCCTACTTTGTACTGCTTTAACAACCTTGTATCTTTATAGAGTGTGAGAACCACCGTCAGCTTCCATTCGTACATACTCTTACGAGCAGGTATCACCCTTCTCTTGGCCAAAACATAGGTAGAGGGCGTTGGAGACGGCAACCCGAAGCGTTAAAGTTAAACGACATTGTTTACATCAGAATTTTACTATAGTAAACCCACTAGATTGCCTTTGGCACCGGGGATGCCAACACAGTTTCTCTGAAAGCCGGTTCGCTCATTCATTATCCCTTGTGAGTGACCACCAACCTGTATTTCCAAATACTCGTCTTACTGCGATGTGTCCTGATTTTTCCTGTCAGACGCTACTCAACGAAGTATTCACTTCGGGTGTCCATGTACTCGAAGGCTGTTATTGTCTGCGTGCTGCAGCCTCGTATGTTCGAGCTTTCCAGGCGTTCTGTGAGAACCGGATCCCCGATGCAATGACTTTCCTTCGCGAGACTGTGCGTTTGGGCAATGAAGAAGAGCTACACCGACTTTCGGCTTCCGCATTCATCACAATGGGTCAAATCTATCTAAACGAGCGCAACACCGGGGTGAGTGACACTCATGGCGGGACTCTACTCGCTGGCAGTTTTTTATGTCTCTAACTTGATCTCTTGAAACCGCCCGTTTCACAGCTATTCCCACGTGCCTTCGAGTTCCTGTTCGAACTCGAACAATAGAACCGCGCAGTTATCGATTTGAGTTTTGGCCGACCCACTGACAATTCTACGTTGTGCTAGTTTTTAAAACTCATCAGATCTGGTTGACTTTCCTCCCAAGCAAATTTTGTCAAATAATCGTTATTCGCCTTATTGACAGAGAGGTTGGAGAAAACGTCAGAGTGCAAATTAGTGCTTTTTTCATTTGAATTCATCAGTATCTCCTATCGATCTTTTCATTTCAGCTCCATTTTTGGAAAATGACACAACCGTTTTGAAACTCTTGTTTTTCGTATATGTAAAAGGGTGTTTGGCCCCTATCCAGTCTATCCAGGCCGTCACGAAGAGACTGGACGTTACCGTGGTGTGGCGGTTTGTGTACTTCGGCGACCCATTGAGCTATACTGGGGAGTGTCCGCACGATGCTCACAGAGTCTCTCATACCAGGTTGGTCCATGGGTAGAGGTCCGACGAACGCAGTCTCCTGGCCCTCCAGGTTGGGGGTTGGAACATGTAAGGTGACGTGTTCCGTAAAAAAAGTTAATGTAATTGCATTTCCAGCCGAACACCGCTGCCTTACGGTTAGGCTTTTGAGCCAAAGGCTTTGGTTGAGGACCCTAATCGTCCTCCTGTCTAGGTGTGGACGCCCTCACAGTATCCCAGCCCATGTACAACCATGAACTGCACACACACAAATAAACTCATGCCACAGCCTATCCAGCTAACGGTGATGTTTCCTTTTACATGAAGCATATCTGCTTTCCTTTAGTTTTGAGCAGCGTTTCGAAATTCCATTGTTATATTCATGTATCGTTCATTACTGTTCACCAAATATGAACGGTTCCGACTGTTTGTGGCAACGAAAATCGGTTCGACTGCAGTCAGGCTGAATAGTCCTCTCCTATGCTACACTATCTGTTTGCTTTTAGAAGTCAATCGTACTCGTACGACCCTTTCTACTGGGACTAGCGAACCAAGGTGGTTAATTCCTGACCGGCAATTTTAGGATGGACGCAGTCCTTAGTCTTCCTGCGTAAGCGCGTTCATCTTCAATGTGTCACTGTCCCCTTTTACTAGAAGACACACAAGTCCCCTAAACCTAATAATTTGGCTCAGTTTACCAGTGGAGTTAGTCAATCTTCCCATAAGTATCTTTCGTTCTGTGGCTCGGACAACCACTGAATGTGGATTTCCGTTGGAAATCCTCCGTTTTGAGTTTCACTATTCCATTTTTAGTGTCCAGAGGCTGCGGTGAGCAGCACCCAAATGTTTTACTAGTGGAGAGCGTTGGGCGGGATGGCCCAAGTGGTTAGAGCACGAATGTACTGATCGAAAGGTCCGTGGTTCGAACCCGACCTCTGCCTCTCGATTTCCCCTGTCTAGGCTTGGACAACCTGGAAGTACCCCAGCCCTCGTGCCTCCTTCGTGTGGCATGGCAGCTAGGCACCGAAAGGGCGCTACAGCTGTACGAGCACACCAAATCGGCTCTATATCTGGCTGTGATGTGACTGCAACCAGAGGATATCAGTCAGACAGCACAATGCTAGACTGCACGGCAATGAATTAGTGTCATTGAATCAGGCAAATGACCCGATTTGCTGTGTTGCACGAACCTTAGTTCGAGTTTTTCTCAGTGTGACGAAGTTTCAACGACGCTCTACTGAGAATCTAAATACGGTATATGGCTAGATAGAGACTACATACCCATTCAATGTACTGTACTCCGTCCCAGTGTGCATATTAGTGATTGAGTGAGTGCTCTCAGTACCCTTAGTGAATGTTAACCAAGTGGACCAATGGACCAAGTGGTTAGAACGCGTGGTTCGAACCCGACCTCTGCCACTCGACTTCCCCTGTCTAGGCTTGGGCAACCTGGCAGTATCCCAGCGCTCGTACCACCTTCGTGTGGCATGGCAGTTAGGCGCCGAAAGGGTGCTACAGCTGGATGATATCGACAAAGTATGTAATTCTTTTTGAGGAAGCGGTACTTACGGTTCTTTTTTGTGCGGATTGGATCCTTATAAGAAGCTCCAGACTGTCTACTCTGGAGTACCGTGCACTGAGTGGACTGCAATTTACAGCCAACCGAATTTCGGCGATAATAGGTGTTCTCCTCGGACACCCAGAAACCCATGCTTGTGTTTTTTCCTCGAATCATTCCACTCAAATCAAAATGCACAGCTGCGAATTCTGTGAATGTGACCAAAGGACTATACGAATCCCACGTGCCATTCGCTTCTAACACACTCCTTGTACCCCATCGTGTCTTTGCTCCCATTTAATACAGCCCAGATATCTTCGTCTGTGCGAATGAAGTTCAATCATCCACATAATATTTTGTGTCTAAGTCAGCTCATCTCTTGCGCCTTTAGCTGCCATTCAACCCTATGAAGATACAAGTCAGGATACTGGTAGATTACCCAAGCTTGGTCCGGGTTCAGCTTGCGGATTTGAACTGGGAGCTCCCTGGATTATCTTGGGCGACACGCGTGACCAGTCAGTCCCCAATGAATTCGTTTCAACGGGCAAAGGTTTTGGTTTGTGTTCATGGAGCTCTAGATAAATCAATGTTTAAGGTGTTAGCTCACCTACCGAAACCTAATATCAGTATTTCGACTGCTCCTGTCTAGGCTTGGACAACCTGGTAGCCCAGCCCTCGTGCTTCCTTCAGTTGGCATGGCAGCTAGGCACTCAGAGGGTCTTGAAGCTTAACGATTATTTCATCATTACTATTATGCTTGACTTTTCTGCTCTCAGTCCAAATTCAACTCTTCCAATTTCCCCAAACGTCTCACTCGCAACTGATTCCCTGAATGTCTGTGTTGTCTGCGTATGCTTGAATTCCTTTGCCTATTTCCAATTTATCGGGCTTTGCTCTCTTCGCCCTTGCGTGTTCATAGTCCCATGTGAACACGCTACCTTGCAGTTTCTTCCCCACATCAATCATCTTATCAAGGCAGTTGACGTTTTTTTCATGCTTCCTTCCATTTACGTAGATTTCCCGTCTGTTGTTGCTTGTGAGAGCGAAACTCCGAGATAAGTTTCACTTCCACAGCTGTCAATCACTACTCCACTCGTTCCTGTTGCAGACAGACACAAGTTTATTACTTGACCTCTATTTGTCCAGCTGAGAACCTCCTGTTCAGGTCGGTCTCCATACGGCTGATAGGTGAACCCTTTTTGTGCCACAACAAACGTGTTCAGGATGTCCGTTTTTTGGTGTTCGTTTACATGGCTGAACGTGAAAGAACTCAGTGGGGTAGGGAGATGGACCGTGTCTGTTTTGATGACGGATTCGTTACGGATTGACATAAACAACGTGGCCGGTTCGGTCAGTTACTCGTCAACATCGTCCGATAGGAAATATGTTGAATCTCGTTCACGGGTTCATGCCGCGCACATGTCAGGATTAATATTTGTTTTTTAGGGTAGGACGCTGTTACGATGATCTCGGGTCAAGGTTGTTGCCCAACATCCATTGGGAATCAGCGAAATGTCTGCTAACGTTTGTAGCTTCTTTAGATGAGCGAGACAGCAAACGCAAAACTGGGTTGCTTCTTTCGCCGCTTGAACACAATTGATGTGTATCACTGCATCCTGTTGAACGATCCGCCGCACAACTGTCCCCCTCTGGAGAGGTCATTCGAAGGAACAAAATAAAAGTAGTCTCCCGAGATGAGCTTCACCATTCATGTGTCTACTCATCTGGGTATTTCGATTGAAAACGTCCGATTACCCTGTGATATGAACACATTGCGCTAAATTCGCCTCACGCTTGCAATTAACCAACGGATCAACGAGAACTCGTACAATTCGGGTCGCCAGCATTTACTCCCTAGAAGAAGAAGCCTGAAGGGTCCCAAAGAAAGTGGTCTCCAAGAGAAAACAACGGTTGTACACATGCGTACACACGGGAAACAACTTGTCTCCCTACAGCAGCGGTTTCTTCTATAGTCCTCTAGAGGTGTAGCCTCTGTGAGGAGAGCGACTTAATGTATGGTTCAGAACGGCTAGTTGTTTCCTTGCTTTGATCTGATAGATGCCCGAATTTTGTTGCGCTCTAGCTAGGCTTCACACCGTAGCCTTTTGCTTTGTATGGTCACCAACGCAAGTCGTCTTCTTGAGTGGTCCTCATGAACCGAATTTTTCTTATCTACATTTGTGTGTTCTTGTGTTGATTATCCCCGAACCTTTCGATCCTATCCGACTGACTGCTGCTGCCAAGCGGAGTCAAGGGCTCCTATCACCCTATCACAAAAGTTAAAAGATGGCGCCAGATAGTTGGTCTTCAACGGTAGAAGTCAATGTGTGTGTCTCTCTGGACAGTGGTAAAACTCAGCGTATCGGCACGTCGTAAATGATCGGTTTAGTGAGCTCCGAAAAAATCGTCAGTGACGCAATCCTCTTTTCAAGGAAAGTCGTTGAAAGTTGTTGAGCAATATGACAGATCGCAGATGATTGGCAGGCGCACGTATCGAACTTTTCGTTGTAATGAAATATTTGTTTGGTAGTGAGCTTCGATCAAGAGATAAATCCAGTTGCTCGGATTCAGAATTTTCGTGAAGGACTGAACATGATGGAAGTGTACACTGCTTTCTAGAAAAACCTACCACTTTTTGGGGCATGGAAAAGCGAATTACCATAATATGTCGGAGATCTCGGTTTTGACCATATCTTTAGTAGCATGAAGGGGGAGGGTGAGATGGCTCAAGTGGTTAGAGTACTAATTTCCTGACCGGAAGGTTCGTGGTTCGAACCCGACCTCAGCCACTCGATTTCCCCTGCTTAGGCTTGGGCGACCTGGCAGTATCCCAGCCCTCGTGCTTCCTTCGGGGAGCATGGCAGCTAGGCACCGGAAGGGTGCTACAGCTGAACGCATGTCACTCAACAACAGAGTGATTTTAGTCTGCTCCGCAAGTGTTTCCTCTTGGAGGAGGCGAGACATTTTTCCTGGTTGCTACATTGTTTCGTGGTTCGAGTGTGAGTGGATTTGGGACTGTCCTTGTTCAGCTCCTCAGTAGCAATATGAATATTTGTGTACGTATGCTGTCTAAGCGGCAATCGGTTTAGCCCACTTTTTTTCAAGCCGTTTTTCGGCCAATCCGCTCTATTGCACTCTCATCGCGATAAACCACCAAAACATATTGGTGGGATGTCCACTTGCTTTTATGCGGGAAAGCGCACATCATACTCCGAAATTCGATCTCCTCTATCCGGCTTTGAAAATAGGATCACTCGAGCTGTTTTTCTCTCATATTATCCATTTTGTGCGCCACATGTGTCAGAAGACAATTATGCATCGTTTTCTGATTTTTACACCCTCCCCACGCAGCTCGTAGGACAGAGTTACGCGGACCGGGGATAGATCCGAGTCTCTGTCAAAACCGTTAGAGAAAATCACCTTTCTGAAAGTGTCAGGGTTCGATGTAGAACCTGGGGTTTATTTAAAATTAGTGCCTTTTTAGACGGATGTGTAATTCACCTTCCGATTGATTGTTCGGATGAAATCGTCCTGGACGTGATAGATGAAGCGGATCAAACCACCACACTCAAATACCAAAGTGCAAAGTGACTGATTTAAGGACAGCTGTCCCCCCTATAAGGAGGTCATTCTTTCATGGATCAATCGAAGGTAGCCACTACGCGAAGTGGCTTCTCTCGAGTCGAAACTAGTGAAAAAAACGGGTATGGTTCCATAAAAAGTCTGTTTTACAGTTGTTTCCCTCGACAGTTCTCATTTAACTTAAACAAAAAGACCCCTCCGTTTACGATACCTCTGAAACGATGGATGTATTTTCATACCGTTTCCCTACTCGCAGTAACATGCATCCACATTTCAGTAGTTATCGAGTCACCGGCTTCGCCTGATTGAGGTTATTCAATCTGAAAAATTGAAAAGTCCGGGTGGCTTCTCTCGAGTCGAAACTAGTGAAAAACGGGGATGGTCCCATAAAAAGTCTGTTTTACAGTTGTTTCCCTTGACAGTTCTCATTTAACTTAAACAAAATGACCCCTCAGTTTACCATACCTCTGAAACGATGGATGTATTTTCATACCGTTTTCCTACTCGCAATAACATGCATCCACATTTCGGTAGTTATCGAGTCACCGGCTTCGCCTGATTGAGGTTATTCAATCTGAAAAATTGAGAAAGTCTGGGACAACGTCTACAAGCATCGCAAATCAATGTCTCATTCCTGAAAGTGAGAACACACTCGGGTTAGCAACACAAGACGGTCGTTCCCAGATGAGCACCAATGAGACAAGTCACGGATCAAAGGCCGAGCTACCCAGGGTCCCTTTACCATTTAAACGCTAATTCGAATTTGAAGCACATTACCCTCAGTACTCTTCGGATCTCCTGTGAGAACCGATGGTCAGTTGGCCAAACGGTCTAACTAAGCACTTACAATCTCCGAGGCTCATTAGATCACGAACACCCAATCGCTTTGTGCCTTTCAAGTCACTGATCAGTTGTGGACGGGTTTCAGTTAGAGATTGTTCTTGGATTGCACTCTAACACATAAAGACCGAGCCAAATCCCCGGATGCCTGTTGGCTCGTGTATTCTGGCGCGCGGAAATGGTACATTTGGCGGCAGACTCCTTTTATCTGCTGGAAATTCATGAATTCCGCACCGCTGATTACAGTACCTATCAGCTTTTTGGCATCGATCTGTTGTAATCACAGGATCGAAGCCCAACCGATCTGATTTCCTCTAAAATGATAACATGGCGCGTTGGTTGAATGCCGTACAATCTTAGTTCGCCATACTTTCTGCTCATGTTTCTCTTTTCAAAAGATTGCATCGACGACCATTTTCTGACGAAGGGAGCCAAGTTGAACAACAGAAGTGACCCAAAAAAGTCCATCCAATCCTGAGTGCAACCGATTTGCGCGCCTTCAAATTTTATCCATCAGTTTGCCTGCTGGTCGAAAATCTATTTTGTAGCTGGAATTCCACACTCCACTTCTCCTGCACTCTACGTTTTTTCCTTCCAGGTGGGACTAGGGAAGGGGTTGCCGTAATTAAATACAGTCATTGATTTTTGTAGATCAACAGTCTATTATCGATCTGATTGTCTAAATTTCTAGGTGGATGGAAAGACTGGTACATGGTTTTTGTTATATAACCTACTACGCACGTTATTATTCGCTGAACGCGGATGAACGCATTGGATTGCTGTCCATGGTAGAAAAACGATGCTATTCATATATCAGATTTTCTTTCGTCCACACGATCACCCTATTTCTTTCGCTCGTTTCTCTTTTCCCGAAATAAAGTACGTGACTGTCCCAATCTGGTTACTCTTAATTTCGTTACTTTCCAGTCGTTGACATTTCCACTTTCTACGAGCGATAAATCCTCCTCACGTCTGGGCTGCCCTTGCTGCTGTTATTGATGATGCAGCTGTTGTCGGCACAGAGTGTCGGTGGATCAGCACAGATTTTGTCTGACTTTCTGAGTGGAAGTCAGCGTGTGCGTGTGCCTAATGTTCGTTCGCACTGAGGCGGTGCTGCTTGTATACGGTGGATTTTCTCATGTGTAGATCTGCAATACATCATCACGATGCATTTCGTGACCCTGTCGCTGAGGTGTTGCAATTCAGTAGTACTATCGTTAGCCTAATATAACTGGGCACATCATTAACGAATTACTCTCCTTGTTCGGTTGTCTTTCTGAATTATTCTGCCTACACAGAGTGACAAGGTCTTCTTTTAAAGTTTGCCTTCATTTTTTTGTTCATCCAGGAAGGTCAGAAGATGATCAGCGCAGCCATTCACGTGGCTAACCGACTGCCTGATATTGGGATTCAGCTATGGGCAACTGCTCTCCTAAAGGGGGTGGCCAACTTGCGAGGCGATACTCAAGAGGAAACGCGTTGGTTTGCTGAGCATGACCGCTACTCAAAACTTGTGATTCACGAACATGTTAGGGCCATCTCTGCACCGGAACATCGACTCTTTTTTTTGTTTATTCAGGAAGGTCAGAAGATGATCAGCGCAGCCATTCACGTGGCTAACCGACTGCCTGATATTGGGATTCAGCTATGGGCAACTGCTCTCCTAAAGGGGGTGGCCAACTTGCGAGGCGATACTCAAGAGGAAACGCGTTGGTTTGCTGAGCATGACCGCTACTCAAAACTTGTGATTCACGAACATGTTAGGGCCATCTCTGCACCGGAACATCGACTCATAGAGGTAGTTTATCTGAATGTAAAATTGTCGTTTTTTTTGCTTGCTGCTTACTATGCAGTTGTTCGATTTCCTCCAGTCAGGTTTGAACTTGTCACCTGGTGCACTTATCCATCGAATGCATGATCTATTCGGATTTCACACATTTGGAACTGCGAAAACATTTCGTGAGAATCCAGGCCAATTCAATCACAGAGATAAAGACATTTCAGTGTACGCAACTAAGTTCCTGTTGCTTGCTTTTCGCAGTCAGATGGAGGGCGAATCCTGAGCACTCTGGTATACAGCAGGTGGCTGTGATTCCATCTTTCAAAATAATCGAAAGACTGTGTTCCATCTTACGGAAACATGTATTTCGTTGTGCTTTGGGCCACTTTAGGCATCTTATTCCTCAAGCGTGGTCATAAAAAGCCAAGTCATTTTGGGCTGTCGAATTGAATCCAACTGTGGCCTAATCACGTGTTTCCTCGTTTACTGGTGCTCACAGAATGTTACATCACTGATTGAATTTGTGAACATAGTTCGTAATGAGTGTGGCTAAGGATCGGTAGTCTGTTGGGTTTTACACTTTCTGGTATTGCCGGCACCCTATTTGTGCGATACATCTACCTGACGACTGTACCACTTGTCGCCTCCGGAAATTCTGAATGCCCCAAGTTGATAGTGTTTCCTAACGTGTACTCAAGTAACACTCATAATAATCGTTCAGCTGTGACACCCTTCCAGTGTTTAGTTGCCATGCTATCCGAAAGAAGCACGAGGGCTGGTATACTGCTACGTTGCTCAAGCCTAGACAGGAGCAGTCGAGATGCAGAAGCCGGGATCGAACCAAAGACCATCCGGTCAGTAAATTAGCGCTTTGGCCACCAAGCCATCTCGTTTTGTGTATGGACAACACCCCCTTCTCGACAGAACACTTTCGGGAAATGCGAAAGCGTTTCTTCGACTTGAAAGCTTCTACTTTACGAGATTGGGGGATGGAGAGGCGGAAATGAACCATCGCCTTTCCCGTCATTTACAATAGACTGAAGAAAATTTAGTTCTTCCTTGCTCTTCTGGGGATAGATATAAAATTCCAACTTGATATGAACTTAGTGACAGATCTCACGTGTTTGCTGTTCTACTCCATACACGTGAAACTGACCGGTACCAGTCAGAGGGGCGATATTGCGACAAGCTTTGCTGTCTGTGTTAGTTGGACTAACTTCAGCAGTTCATTCAATAACGGTTTTCTTTTTCGGTGCTGTGGTAACGAACTCTTCAGCTCATGGTAGTTAGACGGCTTCCACCTTGCCCGATACACTTCAAAGCGTTAACCGGCAGTCACAATGGTTATAGTCTGGACAACAGCCCTAGGCATACCGCAAACCAACTGAGTAAACAAGACCGTTTTCAGTCAGCCGATCCACTTACATCTACCAGCTTCTACGGTGCGTCGACACACGACTGTAGGATAGAGTGAAAAAAGTCGTTCATCTCTCATACCCTTTCGGCGCCTAACTGCCATGCCACCCGAAGGTTGCACGAGGGCTGGGATACTGCCAGGTTGCCCGAGCCTAGACAGGGGAAGTC